GCTCCTTGTCCTCATACCCCAGCTCCTTGTCCTCATATCCCTTTCAAGTGCTAAACAATCATATTAGCTGAGTGCTTTCTCTTCATAATTCCCTACCTGCCCAACTCTCATCCATTATACTGTGCAACACTGAGGTGTCGTCCAGTATACTGTGCAACACTGAGGTGTCGTCTAGTATACTGTGCAACACTGAGGTGTCGTCCAGTATACTGTGCAACACTGAGGTGTCGTCTAGTATACTGTGCAACACTGAGGTGTCGTCCAGTATACTGTGCAACACTGAGGTGTCGTCCAGTATACTGTGCAACACTGAGGTGTCGTCCAGTATACTGTGCAACACTGAGGTGTCGTCCAGTATACTGTGCAACACTGAGGTGTTGTCCAGTATACTGTGCAACACTGAGGTGTCTGGTCTCTGTGTCTTGCACAACAGAGTCAACACAACAACTTCTCCTCCACACTTAGCATCTTTGCAACACCCTGAAGACCAATGACCCATGAAAGAAGGAGAAGAGGAGGGGGGGTGCAGGACATGACAACACGGTTGGTGTTCACTTTGCACCAACAGAGCAATTGGGACACTCGTTGCATGCAAGATCCGCCGAATTATGGCACTTGCTGGGGGCAGTTGGTATTGGGGAATATAGAGTTAGAGTCGCTGCAACAGCTCAGGCGTCTTGTAAGTGTACAAAAGTGCACCACGTAAGTGGTCAGCTTCCATTAACCGGATACAAAAGTGTTAGTCTCCAAGGAAGTCAATTTCAGTAAGCAATATGTCTTGTAAAACAAAACAAAAGAAAATATAAATATATAAATACTGAAAATAACAAATAAAAGTTATTTTAACTAAAACAAATAAGTTTTCAAATAATATATATAATATATTATTATATATTAATAATATATATTCAAATAATAATAATATTTATGCATAATATTTATAATATATATATATATTAATAATATATCTATATATAATAATATATATTCAAATAATAATAATATTATACATAATTTATTATATATATATATATTATATATATATATATATATATATATATATATATATATATATATATATATATATATATATATATATATATATATATATATATATTATATAACGGATTGACTATAATTTTAAGTGTAAATATGAACGCTATATAAGGATTAAGTGTAATGTTAGTGTATGGAATACATCCGTATACAATTGTGGTGTATGTCATACATCCGTATACAACTGGCCGGGTGAGGCGTGAGTTAACTTATGTTAACCGCCGACAATAAAATGTTTATAGATCAGTTCATATAAAATTGAATGAGCATTTCAATTAGTTTTTTTTTTGTTAATGGGGTAATTGCTTTTCTGGTTTATGGTATATATGTAGATCTTTATTCGTGGTTCCCCATTATGATTTTGTTCTATATATCTCTATGTCTGTCTGTCTGTCTCTTTCTCTCTCTCTCTCTCTCTCTCTCTCTCTCTCTCTCTCTCTCTCTCTCTCTCTCTCTCTCTCTCTCTCTCTCTCTCTCTCTCTCTCTCTCTCTCTCTCTCTCTCTCTCTCTCTCTCTCTCTCTCTCTCTCTCTCTCTCTGCAATATACAAGCAATTTAGGCCGTATTTCCCCCCGCATTCTTCCTACTGGTCCACTCAGCCTTCGGGTCAGGTCAGGTATCATCCCACACCAGAATACCATTTTCTTTCTTTTTGATATTATTACAATTATGCAATTATAATTGTCTTTGTTTATGATGCTACGGCCGCCTTCATCTGTGGCTAGTTTGCCTTCACTTGTGGCTAGTTTGCCTTCATCTGTGGCTAGTTTGCCTTCATCTGTGGCTAGTTTGCCTTCATCTGTGGCTAGTTTGCCTTCATCTGTGGCTAGTTTGCCTTCATCTGTGGCTTGTTTGCCTTCACTTGTGGCTAGTTTGTCTTCACTTGTGGCTAGTTTGCCTTCACTTGTGGCTAGTTTGCCTTCATCTGTGGCTAGTTTGTCTTCACTTGTGGCTAGTTTGTCTTCACCTGTGGCTAGTTTGTCTTCACCTGTGGCTAGTTTGTCTTCACCTGTGGCTAGTTTGCCTTCACTTGTGGCTAGTTTGTCTTCACTTGTGGCTAGTTTGCCTTCATCTGTGGCTAGTTTGTCTTCACCTGTGGCTAGTTTGTCTTCACCTGTGGCTAGTTTGTCTTCACCTGTGGCTAGTTTGTCTTCACCTGTGGCTAGTTTGCCTTCACTTGTGGCTAGTTTGCCTTCACCTGTGGCTAGTTTGCCTTCATCTGCGGCTAGTTTGTCTTCACCTGTGGCTAGTTTGTCTTCACCTGTGGCTAGTTTGTCTTCACCTGTGGCTAGTTTGTCTTCACTTGTGGCTAGTTTGTCTTCACCTGTGGCTAGTTTGTCTTCACCTGTGGCTAGTTTGTCTTCACCTGTGGCTAGTTTGCCTTCATCTGTGGCTAGTTTGCCTTCATCTGTGGCTAGTTTGTCTTCACCTGTGGCTAGTTTGCCTTCATCTGTGGCTAGTTTGTCTTCACCTGTGGCTAGTTTGTCTTCACTTGTGGCTAGTTTGTCTTCACTTGTGGCTAGTTTGGCTAGTTTGTCTTCACTTGTGGCTAGTTTGTCTTCACCTGTGGCTAGTTTGTCTTCACTTGTGGCTAGTTTGTCTTCACTTGTGGCTAGTTTGTCTTCACTTGTGGCTAGTTTGTCTTCACCTGTGGCTAGTTTGTCTTCACCTGTGGCTAGTTTGTCTTCACTTGTGGCTAGTTTGTCTTCACTGTGGCTAGTTTGCTTCACTTGTGGCTAGTTTGTCTTCACTTGTGGCTAGTTTCTTCACCTGTGGCTAGTTGTCTTCACTTGTGGCTAGTTTGTCTTCACTTGTGGCTAGTTTGTCTTCACTTGTGGCTAGTTTGTCTTCACCTGTGGCTAGTTTGTCTTCACCTGTGGCTAGTTTGTCTTCACCTGTGGCTAGTTTGTCTTCACCTGTGGCTAGTTTGTCTGCACTTGTGGCTAGTTTGTCTTCACTTGTGGCTAGTTTGTCTTCACCTGTGGCTAGTTTGTCTTCACCTGTGGCTAGTTTGCCTTCATCTGTGGCTAGTTTGTCTTCACCTGTGGCTAGTTTGCCTTCACTTGTGGCTAGTTTGCCTTCATCTGTGGCTAGTTTGTCTTCACCTGTGGCTAGTTTGTCTTCACCTGTGGCTAGTTTGTCTTCACCTGTGGCTAGTTTGCCTTCACTTGTGGCTAGTTTGTCTTCACTTGTGGCTAGTTTGTCTTCACCTGTGGCTAGTTTGTCTTCACCTGTGGCTAGTTTGTCTTCACCTGTGGCTAGTTTGTCTTCACCTGTGGCTAGTTTGTCTTCACCTGTGGCTAGTTTGTCTTCACTTGTGGCTAGTTTGTCTTCACCTGTGGCTAGTTTGTCTTCACTTGTGGCTAGTTTGTCTTCACTTGTGGCTAGTTTGTCTTCACCTGTGGCTAGTTTGTCTTCACCTGTGGCTAGTTTGTCTTCACTTGTGGCTAGTGTGTCTTCACCTGTGGCTAGTTTGTCTTCACCTGTGGCTAGTTTGTCTTCACCTGTGGCTAGTTTGTCTTCACTTGTGGCTAGTTTGTCTTCACCTGTGGCTAGTTTGTCTTCACTTGTGGCTAGTTTGTCTTCACCTGTGGCTAGTTTGTCTTCACCTGTGGCTAGTTTGGCTTCACCTGTGGCTAGTTTGTCTTCACCTATATACCCCAAGATGTATTATCTACATTCCTTCTGAAGATGTATTAATATACGAAAGTACTTATGGAAATTCCTGTTTCAATTCAATATATATATATATATATATATATATATATATATATATATATATATATATATATATATATATATATATATATATATATATATATATATATATATATATATATATATATATATATATATATATATATATATATATATATATATATATATATATATATATATATATATATATATTTATACATATTACGTTTATATGATTATATATTATAATATATAATATTATGCAAATATGTCATATTGCTGTAGAAAAAATTATTTACACAAATTATATGTCATGAACATAAAGAAATATTGTTGATACAAACACCATTAAAGATTTAAACTAAAAGGACTAAAGAATATTGAAAATTGTCACTGATGCTTTAATGATTTACGGACATTTATCATGTATTCCGAGTATTGATAATGAATATACTTCATTATTTAAAAAAATAAAAAACCCGGATTGTTAAGCTGTATTAATTAGACATGTTGCAAAGCACTTTTAAATTGTCAGAATAATTTGTGTCATCCACTGGGTTTAATACTGTTTATAAGTATAATATTTGATCCTTTCTATTATATTTTTCCAACCTTGCAATTTTTAATAATAATAATAATAATAATAATAATAATAATAATAATAATAATAATAATTACAAGCACACAGAAATCACAGTATGGCTTCCTACTGAGTTTCTCAGAAATCAAAATAATTTTTGTGTGTTTGTGAAGATGGGATGTTAGGTGTGGGGTCCACTACCCTTCCCCCCCCCCCAAGTGCTTGTGGGTCACTCTGCCCTGGAGGCCAGGGTGCATTGTGGGACCCCCTGCTTGATACCTGCTTGATGCCTACTTGATGGGGTTCTGGGAGTTCTTCTGCTCCCTAAGCCCGGCCCGAGGCCAGGCTTGACATCTGAGAGTTTGGTCCACCAGGCTGTTGCTCGGAGCGGCCCGCAGGCCCACATACCCACCACAGCCCGGTTGGTCCGGCACTCTTTCTTAGAAAACAGTCTAGTTTTCTCTTCAAAATGTCCACGGTTGTTTCGGCAATATTTCTTATAGTCGCTGGGAGGACGTTGAACAACCGCGGACCTCTGATGTTTATACAGTGTTCTCTGATTGTGCCTATGGCACCTCTGCTCTTCACTGGTTCTATCCTGCATTTTCTTCCATATCGTTCACTCCAGTACGTTGTTATTTTACTCTGTAGATTTGGGACCTGTCCCTCCAGTATCTTCTATGTGTATATTATTTACTATCTCTCTCGTCTCCTTTCTAGTGAGTACATTTGGAGAGCTTTGAGACGATCCCAATAACTTAGGTGCACCCCCAATGCACCCTGGCCTCTCCTCCGACGCTTCTCGTCAACTGCACAATATAATCTTGGTCTGGGGTATGGGACGTACATAGGCTGCTCGGGGTATAGGTCTAACTTAAATACTATATGAAACATAGCCAGCATCCCAGCGCCCCCGAGCAATTATCATCAAGTCTGAAATGGAATAAGATGAAATCAGGGATGTAATGTCCGTAGAGTGTTGACGTTTCTCCCACCGTTGATCCTCGTATTTTCATGATTTGCTTTACATATATATGTGGGAATATCTGTTCCAGGTTGGTAGGGAGAGGTGGATGCTTCCTTCTCCCTGGAGGAACGGGAGAGGGGAGGCAACAGAGGGGACGAGGAAGGGGGAGATGGGAGGGGGAAGAAAAATGCGGGAGTGGCACTGAAGATGGGGCTGAGGGGAGGACGGGGAGAGAGAGAGGGGATAGAGAGAGAGAGAGAGAGGGGAGGTGCATGGTTGACGCATGCTGTCCCGGGCACCACCGGGTAATCCTTCCAGTATATAAATAACTCACATTTAGTACAACAAGAAATACATAATATACAACACTAATAATATTTACAACGCATAAATATATATATATATATATATATATATATATATATATATATATATATATATATATATATATATATATATATATATATATATCCCATAATTACAATCCACTTAAAAACTTACAAAGATGGTAAATATGAAACAAAAGTATATTTTTGCTATAAAACAGAAAGTTGCCTCCGAGACCAAACTGTCGAAGAACGCCAAATTATGAAGTAAATATCGCAATTTCAAATTTTGCAATTGAGATAGAAATTGCAGAGGAAATTACGTTGGTAACTGAGGGTGTGTTGCAAGAGCCGTGCCGTTACTGAGAGTGTGTTGCACGAGCCGTGCCGTTACTGAGGGTGTGTTGCAAGAGCCGTGCCGTTACTGAGAGTGTGTTGCAAGAGCCGTGCCGTTACTGAGAGTGTGTTGCAAGAGCCGTGCCGTTACTGAAAGCGTGTTGCAAGAGCCGTGCCGTTATTGAGAGTGTGTTGCAAGACCCGTGCCGTTAATGAGGGTGTGTTGCAGGAGCCTGATGATGAAGATGATGATGAAGATTAAGCCTCCCAAATGGTGGCACGGGCATGAATAGCCCGAAAGTGGTGGCCATTTTGAGCCATTACCAGTATCAAGAGCTGATACTGGAGATCTGTGGAGGTGCGACTGCACTCAGCATAATGGGAGATGTCTCCCTTGTGAATGTGTTAAGATGAAGATGAAGCCACCCAAAAGGTGGCACGGGCATGAATAGCCCGTAAGTGTTGGCCCTTTTGAGCCATTACCAGTATCAAGAGCTGATGCTGGAGATCTGTGGAGGTGCGACTGCACCCTGCGTGACGGGAGATGTCTCCCGTGTTACTGGTGGCTCTCTTCTAGCCGCAAGAGCCGTGCCGTTACTGAGGGTGTGTTGCAAGAGCCGTGCCGTTACTGAGGGTGTGTTGCGAAAGTCGTGACGTCAGTAGGGCGTGTTGCGAAAGTCGTGACGTCAGTAGGGTGTGTTGCAAGGGTCGTGACGTCAGTAGGGTGTGTTGCAAGGGTCGTGACGTCATTGAGGTGTGTTGCAAGGGTCGTAAAGACACTGACCTTCACCTTTCTTCACTTGTAAATTAAAGGCGACCGATTCATGACGAAAGAGAGAGATAAAGAGAGAGAGAGAGAGAGAGAGAGAGAGAGAGAGAGAGAGAGAGAGAGAGAGAGAGAGAGAGAGAGAGAGAGAGAGAGAGAGAGAGAGAGAGAGAGAGAGAGAGAGAGAGAGAGATACAAAGCAAACAGTCACAACATCTCTCATATATATATATGAGAGATGGTATGAAGGTATATATGAGATATATACCTTCCTCGCTTCTATTAAACGACTTGATAGTAGTCCAGGACGGACCCAAATTATATATATTTTGATGTGTGGTTTAGTCATCAACTGATCTGGTTATGTGTAGAAATTATGTTCTTATATGTGTCCTTGTTGTTTGTACATGACGCCCAGGAAGAGACGTCGTCTTGCCTTTATACAGAGATCGTTCCAAGTGGGCATGTGGGGGCGAGAACGACATTCGTCTCTCTCTCAAAGCGTCTTTCTTGGGGGGGGGGGGTGTTCTGGCTCTTGTAGTAAATTGTTAACTCTTATTTGCTGGTTCGTGTGGGGAGGGGGGTGGGGGGGGGTAACGTTCCTACCAATAATATTTTCAGGGACTGTTTTCTCTGTTTTCATGAGCTATGCAATCTTGCATAAAGCTGCCAACCGTGCTATATCTGCCCCTCTTATTAAAGTATTCAACAGGAGCTTCATTTCCACGGCTTTCAAAACTGAGGAGAGTCTTGAAGGATAGTGTTGATATTTTTTTTCCTATGCCTAGTTAGCACATATATGTACTAAAGTAATCCTATCAATGCTTATTGAGACCTTGGATAGATTAGCTTAGATTATTTAATAAATGTTCGATTTTTGTACGTTTGACCATTACAAAACATTTACATTTCATTTGTAAATAAAAACATTTATAATTTCATTCGTTACATTTCGGTCCAGGATGGACCGAAAAGTCGGCACTTCCTATATTTTCAAGTGCGTGGTTTGGGTGACTAATTTTCTGCCACACTAATGTGAGGCTGTCCGCGTAGGCACCATCATTTCTGAAGGACGGTCGGACAACAGAATTAGACTATCCATCAGAGCCAGAACAATGCCAAACATTATGTTTCCCCGCCAACAGAGGCCCGGGCGGTGATCCAGGGAGCGCCGGAGATCCATGTCCACACGGGCGTCCGCCTACGCCTGCACTGCGGGGTGGAGCTGGCCACCGAGTCTCCCGCCTTCATCTTCTGGTACCACAACGGGACCATGGTCAACTACGACCTCAGGAGGGCCCTCAAGGTCGTCCGTAACCACCATGGCATCTCGCTCGTCATCCATAACGTGACCTGGGCGGACGCGGGGTCGTACATGTGTGACCCGGACAAGGCCCGGCCCGCCAATGTCACCCTCCATGTTATTGCTGGTAAGGATTTCTTTGTGCTGTGTGTTGGAAGGTGATATTTTGGCGCGGATATAATCATATTTGCAGCGGCTTAGGGACGGCGCGGTAAACTGTAAGGTAAACTGGTGGTGTATCAGCAGACACATGGAAGTAACTGTTACATTAAGAACTTGCTCAACAGAAAAGTACAACCAGTATGAAACCTTATATAAAACAGGTGGCACAAGACAGCAGGCCAGGCACCCACACTCATGACAGGTCTAGTGCATAAGGAAACAAATACACATTGACAAGTCTTGTGTATGAGGCTAAAAAATTATTAAAAGAACAGTATTATGAACAATATCACTACAAAAACGTATTATAAACACACACATACACACACACACGCACACATACACACACACACACACACACACACACACACACACACACACACACACACACACACACACACACACACACACACACACACACACACACACACACATACACACACACACACACACACACACACACACACACACACACACACACACACACACACACACACACACACACACACACACACACACACACACACACACACACACACACACACACACACACACACACACACACACACACACACGTATCTTTAACGTAACGTTAACTTGTTTGTTTGCTTTTCATTTTTTGCACATTGTATTCAGCCAAGTCATAGAGGAACTATTTTTATTTATGTAAATTGATAAAAGTCATTTTTTGCCATAGTAAAGTTCATTTTTTCATTCCTTGTACTTTATACTACAGCTACCACACCGTGAAGAGATCTACTTATCAGTTTTATTTACTTTGTTTTTGTTAAATGTAATTGGCATTCCATCTGCCCTAATAGCCACTGCTCTATTAGTCATTTTTCCGTCACAATACAAAATAGAAACAGGAATCGACAAAACTGACAAAGAGGAGTTCTTCAAACCAGCAACTTCAAGAACAAGAGGTCATAGATTCAAGCTAAGGAAACAAAGGTTTCGAAAATATATTAGAAAGTTTTCTTTTGCGAAGAGAGAAGGCGGTGGATGCCAAAACCGTCAAATGACGAAGAGTGCTGGGAAGACGGGACACCACGAGCGTATCTATTATCCTATAACTACAGTTAGGTAATTACTTAGGTGATAACACACACACACATACACACACCCTTATCCTACTAATCCTCAAACCATTAAAATTTATTTCTAGGTAAAAATTTACTGATAAAGAGTCTTTAAAAGCAAAGCAATATAAGGTATAATGAACCATATGAAGATTGCAAACATTTTATTCTACAAACGGACAAGCAACATTCATATACATTAGCGCAGCATACATCTTCAATTAAAAAGAGGACATAGTTAATTTTTATTGTCCATGAAGACGTAATTACGCTCAGGCTGTTAGTTGCTGGGGGAACTTCGATAATTACGACCCGTACAAGTGGGATGGGCACAAATTGAATTGACTTTCCTACTAATGAAAGTAAGAGATGATTGTAATGGCAGTATATGTCCTGATTTATAACCACTTGATCATGTGACACCTCATATGTTGACCTCATAGTGTCATGAGGATTATGGACTTGGTGGAACGTTGGTGCCTGAAACGCTATGCGTACTAGTGGCTTTAGGTATTCTATGTACAAGCTCTATCTATAAATCCAACATTATGTTTGTAAATCAACTATGTATGTAGACTATGTATGTACTTTCCTGAATGAAATTTACTTTACTTTAAGATTGTTACTTGCTAGAGAATGGGTAAATGTTCATCACTTTCAATCTATCTATTTCTGTTCATCACTGGGTACACAAATATGCTACTTTTACATGTTGTTGTTGTTGTTTTAGATGCAGCTACTCGGAACAAAACGTTCCAAGTAGCACGGGCTATGGTGAACCCGTAGTGAACTTACCTGGCACAGGAGCGGAGCAGAAACTTCCGTTTTACATGCAAAAACAGACATATATAAGTATGGGGTTACGCCTGACACTACTATTAAGTAGTCTTTTAATCGTTGATATCGACGAAGAATCGGGTGAGGGGATTGCTGCCTAACTTCAGCTAACAGTTGTCTACCGAATCTGTCATCTTCCCTTTGACTCAACGGAAGGCCGTTAAACAATTGTAAGCTTGAATTCAAATCCATCTGAATGTTGATTACTGGCATCAGCGCTTGAAGGATCTCGGCCTCAAGTGTTCGGAGCGTCCTTCGACCATTGGTGTGTGTGTGTATGTGTGTGTGTGTGTGTGTGTGTGTGTGTGTGTGTGTGTGTGTGTGTGTGTGTGTGTGTGTGTGTGTGTGTGTGTGTGTGTGTGTGTGTGTGTGTGTGTGTGTGTGTGTGTGTGTGTGTGTGTGTGTGTGTGTGTGTGTGTGTGTGTGTGTGTGTGTGTGTGTGTGTGTGTGTGTGTGCGTGTGTGTGCGTGTGTGTGCGTATGTGTGCGTGTGCGTGTGTGTGTGTGTGTGTGTGTGTGTCAGTGTTGCGGTGTCCCTCCCTATGGCGACTCAGGCTGGTACTGTGGTATTGAGAGTGGTGTTGCTTAATACCTACTGCTTCCGTAAGACTTACGAGACTTACGGCGACGCGGTACAGTAACTGTCCTTAATGCCCTTCAAACACATCGACAAATACCTAACATTTCCGAAAAGCTTTCTCGACTGTATGGTAGTAATCTCGTCATCCTTTAACCATCTGACAGCTTAATTAACTTCTAATGAAACTCTCAATGATGCCCAGGTAGAATTTTTTTTAATGTGCCATCTTTACCCAAAATACTGACAAGTTGAGAAAAAAGCTGAATTGGCAATTCTCTCTTGAGGACTTGTGGACCAGTGACAGGAAGGTCACGCTGTACACAATCCCGATCTTCAGGAACACTCAAGTAGGTAAGATCAGAGTAGTTAACAAATGGAATGCATTAGGCTTCGATGTGGTGGAGGCTGACTCCATACACAGTTTCAAGTGTAGATATGTGGCTGAGAGCACGGCTCTCAGCCACAGCTCAGGATGGAAGCAAGTCGATGAAGAACTCTGTAGGGTAAGGCAGGTCCTAGTCAACAACGGCTTCTCCAATGGTTTCGTTGAAGACATCATAAGAAGGAAGGTGAAACGCCATGCAACCTCTGAAGAGACAACTAACACAACACCTATACCCCCTATTACACTATTTTACAGGAACTTCTTTTCCACAGCTCATAAAACGGAGGAAAGGGTCCTGAAAGATATTGTTAATAGAAACGTTATCCCTACAGACAAAAATCAGAAGATACAATTGACGATCTACTATAAAACCAAGAAAACGGCCAACCTACTCATGAGAAACTCTCCAGACACAAAGCAGAACGCTTTAAAAGAGATCAATGTCGTCTATGCCTTCAAATGCCCACTTGGGGACTGTAAGCCTCAAAGAATTCAGTATATAGGCAAGACAACAACATCTCTTTCCAGGCGATTAACGATGCATAAGCAACAGGGCTCCATTAAGGAACATATAATCTCTTCCCACAACCAGACCATCACCAGAGAAGCCTTAGCAAAAAACACGGAAATCATCGATAGATACAGCGATAGCAGGCGGCTAGATATCTGCGAGGCACTACACATTAAGAAGTCGACACCAGCAATCAACAGCCAATTAATGCACAACTATATTCTACCCACTTCAAGACTCCGCACCAATATAGAAGCATCAAGAAATATGGGCCAATAGGCCCTTTGCAGTTACTTCCATTCTTCCCTTTAACTTACAAAATGTTATACCCATTGTTTCGTGTTTTGTCTTGTGTTGAAAGTTTGTTTTCACCTCATCCAAAACTGTTGTAACATATCACCTCACCCAAATGCAGGTATATATATATATATATATATATATATATATATATATATATATATATATATATATATATATATATATATATATATGGGATATGTTTAATTAGCAACTAACAAGAGCGGTCCATACTGTTGCCTGTGCTAGACGTATTTCACAATATGAAATATTTAAATAAAAATACAATTTTTGACCACAGTTGTTGTTGGTCCGAGGCTTACAGTTCAGTCATTCATGAATTATGTTATTTTATTTTAAGAACTTAAATTACATTAATTGATCACTATTATATAGGCTGCTTTATTATTTCCATAACTCCATTATATCTATGTAATAGTTCCCATCTGCTTCTATTAATACGACACAGTATTAAGACTTTTTGGTCCCAACATTACTGTGTCAGGGGTGAAGGATCTACTTTACTGCATTCCTCTGTTTTATTTTTTATTTTATTTGTTTTTATTTATATATACAAGAGTTCTTACATTCTTGTAATAAGCCTGTTACTGATACTTGCTGCCCTTGGCAACTGAGTATACTTATTTTGTAGTTAAATGTATAATATATTCCGTCTTCTTCTGTCCACTCCTTGATGAATAACAATAAGAATGTAATGGTAAGACTTGGAGATCAATACGCCTCTCTTTAGGGGAGTTGATCAGAGTTTGGCTGATGATCAGAGCGTTTACAAATATTTTCATAAACATCATTCTCATCATGTAATTTACTCTTCGGCTAACTTTCACATACCTTTTCAGATTAAATTTCGCAAAACTTCGGCACACAAATTTACGAAATCTCATTTATTTTAACAGAGGAGAAGCACGCGGCGCTGCACAACGGCCACAGCGACGAATCAGAGCAGCTGACCACCGCTGACTCCGCCCCCTGCCTCGCGGCCCCGCTCCTGATTGGCTCCTGTTTGTTTATACTCCTGATGGACGGATATTTTGAAAAATGTGTTATGCTATCTCGATGATGGGAATAAGAATAAAATGCTACGAGAGATTATAAATATATACATATATATATACTGTATGTGTCTTATGATGTTAAGGTCTGTTATCTTGATGTATGATTATGTATATAATGGTATATTCATTATTTTCTATGGCAACGTAAAATGTTTATTGTCAGTTCCCTTCCAGTGTTATGTATATAATTTTTAATTTGCGTTATTGACTGACGGCGCATCAGTACTATTTTCTATTTTTACATTATATTCTTATCCACAGGAACATTATATATAGTTTAGGCAGAATAGGCTAGCGTATATAGGTCAATATAACTTAAGAAACATATTACAATCGTCGCCACACACCCTAAAGGCGCCTCTGTTGCTGCCGGCTGGTTGGCTACCTTAACTGAGCTTGTGTCGTCATCTCCAGTCATTGTACAAGTTACTCTGTAACACTTGTGTCACGCAAAGAATAACAGGAATTAAATTTATAAAGATTGATTTTTGATTTTCACGAACTGAACCCCTAACATTCATTTAGCCACGCAAGTTACAGTCGTCAAAACTACATATATAAGGAAAGTTCAGTATTTCTGTCAGTACTCGGGGATCCCCTTCTCCATGGAATGTTTATATACAAACTCGCGTGGGAATGTTTATATGCCAAAAAGTTATAAGTTCATTATCCTCACCATATTATGTTGAAATCTTTACAGCCATGGAGCCGGTTTACAAAAATGTAAAATGTTTACAGGGAGCCGGTCGGCCGAGCAGACAGCACACTGGACTTGTTATCCTGTGGTCCCGGGTTTGATCCCGGGCGCCGGCGAGAAACAATGGGCAGAGTTTCTTTCACCCTATGCCCCTGTTACCTAGCAGTAAAATAGGTACCTGGGTGTTAGTCAGCTGTCACGGGCTGCTTCCTGGGGGTGGAGGCCTGATCGAGGACCGGGCCGCGGGGACACTAAAAGCCCCGAAATCATCTCAAGCTAACCTCAAGAAGATAGCCATATTCACGGGTTTGTAATGGCATGTTGAGGGAGGGGGGTTTCTCCAATGTCTCCACCCAGCCATTTTCAGAATATTTCAAATACAAATCAGTATCGACTGACAACTGAAATAATACACTCCGCAAATTATAAAAAGAATAGGATTTCCAAATAGATTCCTATTTGGAAATCCATTCATGAACTTAACTAAATAATTATAGGTTAATTATTGGTTGAGAATGTTCCAAAGTCTCACCTTATATTATAAGCAGACGGGGGTATCAAAACAGATCAACGTTACGCTAATAATCAAATATTTAACTAAGCTGAATTACGTGCAGCTGAGCCTCGGTCAAGCCAAGTTTGAACATGTAGGGATAAGCAGGTAAAAAAAAAATTTGTCCGGTCGACTCGAACTCTTCAAACATTGTACTTCGTTGTGAACGTCAGGATAAGTTAAGGTTGATTGTGGTAATATTGTTTGTAGGGGCTAGAGGCTGATTTAATACTAATGTTCCGGGACGGAGCATCCCGTCCTCTTGGGTGTTCACATGTTGTTGTAGATTCAGCTACTCGAAACAAAATGTTGCAAGTAGCACGGGCTATGGTGAACCCGTAGTGGACTTACCTGGCACAGGAGCGGGGCTGTAACTAGGATCGAGAATAGAAATAGCCTAAGCTACTGTATCCCTTTCAGATGTATTTTATTGTCCTAATAAAACGTACTTGTAACTGGGGGATGGGGCGTTCACAATGTCACTAAATCAATATACTAAATTGCCCGAACCTCACCTAATCGAGGACCCACGAATAGAAAACGGAACATCACGTAAAATTTTGCGAGCCGCTATGATTTTTAGCACATCAGTTTTTTGGGGCTTTGGGCATTTGTACGTCAAGATGCAATGTATTATTCGAGAAGACGGGTTGATATCAACGGGATTCATGCTCCGTTTTCTATGAGTTAAGCAGACGACTCGTGGACTCTTGAGAGTTTGTTTACGGAAACATTGATTGTTGTTTGACGCAGTACTATGTTGACTCACAGGATGTGTGACGCACTCTCCCTGTTGACCCTCAGAATATATGAGGCATTCTTCCTGTTGACTCTCAGGATGTATGAGGCACTCTTCCTGCCTGCTGACTCTCAGACGAAGACACACACAAGATGTGGGTGGCACTTTCCCTGACTGTTGACTCTCAAGCAAGGTCAAACGTGCAAGATTGAGAAAAAATCATGGTTACGTTTTCATATAAGTATTGTACTCTCAATTTGCACTAGCGGAGATAGGGTACGTAAATCATTGAAATATAGCTAATAGAACGTTGCTATATCTATCAGTATTAACGGTATTAAACATGAGTAAACCTAGTAAGACGCATTATCCACCGTATTACAATGTAGAACTTACGGTTATAATTTAATAACCCAGGCGATGCTACATATTTGGCAATACAGTTTTACTAAGCAAACTAGAATTTTAAATTTTTTGCATGGTAAAAACTGCAAAAGTATACCTCAGGCTTTATTTAACCTTATCCTTGGTTAACCTTATCCTTATCATCAACCTTACAGTCCCCGTGGCGCAGTGGTAAAACACTCGCCCGGCCCGTCGCGAGCGCTTTAGCCTGGGTTCGTATCCTGGCCGGGGAGGATTGACTGGGTGCCAATCCTTAACTGTAGCCTCTGTTCACCCAGCAGTGAATAGGTACCTGGTTGTTAAACGATTTGGCGGGTCGTATTCCAGGAAGGAAGGAAGGGAGGACCTGCCCGAAACGCTATGTGCTGGTGGCTTTACAAAAATGTAAGAACTCTTGTATATATCAATAAAACAATTATATTTCATCAATAATATATATGAATCCATTTTTTATAATATATTCAATGTTAATATATATGGGTAAAGTTTATGTATTTTTCTTAACTAAAGATTTGATTAGTTGTGTATTATGAATTATGATGGAAAACGGAAGCGCGATCAAAAATTCTTATCAGGTGTGAAAGCAACCTAGTCAACAGTAATTGATCGAAACAAATTATCCTCTTTCCCCAAGACATTAGTACAGATATTGACTTTCGCCTAAATTAATATTATTTAAATATCGTATCTGGCAGTCAATTGACAGAAATAATTGTTCATACGGTGTAATGAAAGCTGATATTTTCTCACATAAAAATTAATATTAAATGTATTGCTGGTTTATTTTTACGGATAAGTAAGATATTTTTATTACGTTCAACCATCCCAGGCGATGCTTGTCCACTCTGCGACCGCTTCCAAAGGTATATTTATCAATTTATTTGTCCTGTGTAATAAAAAAAAAGTTCATTTCTCAAATTATAATTTAATATAATTATTTTTATTTCATTCAAAGTTAGGCCTAGGGTAGCTTAGGTTACTTAGATGTTTGGTTTTGTTGGAAAATATTTGTATATATTGAACGTAGGTGTGTATTGAATATGGGAAGTGAATGAAACAGGTAAAACCCCTATGTGCGACCTTACCCAGAGACGAACGTTGTTACTGCATACATTTATGCGATTTTATGTACTCTGAGACATACATTCCATGCGGCAACGATCGTTATTGTTGCTAAAACTCACAGTACTTTCAAAACCCTAGAATCTTTCCACCCATCTTATTCTATGGTGCTGGAAATCTAACACTGATTATGTCTCATCTTTAGCAGGTAAAAGGCAGACGAGTTTTGACAGGTTCTTAGCCTGGCAGCTTAGTAGCGTTGCCTCCAGTGAGGAAGCAAACATTGCCGCTGGAGAAAACACTCCTATCTTGTCCTCACCCAGAAGCTAATTCCTTTCTCGGACTTTTACCGTCATTTATAATGCAATCGGCAACCGTTGGAGAGTGATTAGCTACTACAAGTACTAAATTACGTACCATTAAATGTGATCTATTCCGGTGGTTCTTTATTTGGTGCTGACATCCTAAATGGTGCCGAGGAACTCTTCATTATTTGGTAACGCCGAGTCATATAACCATCTAGGTTAAGCGTTTTTACATTTATGATTACTAACTATATGAGAAAAGTTCGAGCATAATCAGTCGCGAATTATTTGTATCGTGTTTTTCATTCATAAACGTGGAAGCAGCTGCCGGATTAATCAACATTTGGGCAATGTTTCGAGGCTTGGCGGGATTTATGGAGTGTTTGCATAACAGGTTGGACACAGGAGGGATATGTGCACCTGTGGCCTGTGAAACTCTCTTGCGGTTTATAAGCCTCAAACCCAACAGGCTAGAAGTGTACGAAGCCTATTCTGATTCATTACCTTCGAACAGATTCAAATTACTAAAAGCACAAAATTCCGTGCTATCGCCGACTGGAATGGTCCATATTTTTATTTTTTACATAAACTTTTAGAACCCGTTTCCTAGGAAAGATTACTTTTAGTTGATAGGTTGCCTGATATTAGTCATCGCGTTATTTATGCAAACAAATAAATCCGCGACCTTTCACATACAAAATTATAATGTTCTCACTGGGAGATTATAATGTTCTCTGGGAGATTATAATGTTCTCTCTGGGAGATTATAATGTTCTCTGGGAGATTATAATGTTCTCTGGGAGATTATAATGTTCTCTCTGGGAGATTATAATGTTCTCTCTCTGGGAAATTATAATGTTCTCTCTGGGAGATTATAATGTTCTCTCTGGGAGATTATAATGTTCTCTCTCTGGGAGATTATAATGTTCTCTCTCTGGGAGATTATAATGTTCTCTGTCTGGGAGATTATAATGTTCTCTGGGAGATTATAATGTTCTCTCTGGGAGATTATAATGTTCTCTCTGGGAGATTATAATGTTCTCTCTGGGAGATTATAGTGTTCTCTCTGGGCGATTGTAATGTTCTCTCTCTGCGAGATTATAATTATAATGTTCTCTGGAGATTATAATGTTCTCTCTGGAGATTATAATGTTCTCTGCGAGATTTTAATGTTCTCTCTGTAAATATTATCCTTAAATAATGAACATATAAAGTGTTCAAATGTTAAAGTGAACATTTAATGTTCTCTGTAGGAGATTATAATGTTCTCTCTTGGAGAACATAATATTCTCTCTGGGAGATTATGTTCTTTCAATGAGAAACCGATTCCCTTAACTGGGGTACTTTTTTACTGGAAAACCTTTCTCTAAATATTCAATATAAAAGTTTTTCCTGTTCCATGGTTCGGTCAGCATGCTGCGTGTGCTGAGAAAATATATTAAACAGATTTAGGCAATATTCGAATCTTAGTGAAACTCTTCGTTCCTATTCATTTAATCATTTGAAACGTCTCATTTCATTCTTCGTAATGTAAGAAGAATGCATAACATCTTTAGCAATAAATGCATTATAATGTAAACGTTATATATGAACGCTTTAAACAGACCTGGCGCAAAAGGTGCACTCGCACCGCTGTGTTAGATACACAGAGTACCAGTGTTACTTATGACTGGTCCAGTGGGAGCCGTTACTAATACTATAACTGTTATTTTGTGGTGTAATACAGTTACACCGTGTGTCAAGCGATGTTTCATTTGTGTCATTTTGTGAGGTTTTCCCATGGTATTGATGCAACCCGTCCTCTCCAACAGAACATCGCACTTTGAGGAATAAATACCTAAAGAAAAAAACCTATGTACTAAAAATCATAGCGGCTGGCAACGTTAACGTGATGTCCCGTTTTCTATTTGTTGGTCCTCGGTCAGGTTAGCAGCCCGTCGTCTCGATCGTTCTCAACGTCACTAAACTGATGCAAAAAAATTGCCCGAACCTAACCTAACAGAGGACCCACGAATAGGAAACGGGGACATTACCTCAGTTTTGTGAGCCGCTATGATTTTTA